GAGCTTTGACTCCTTTTGAGGAATCAGTTCATATCTCGTTTATTTTGTTGGTGAATCCAGGTTTTTCATGTGTTACAATATTGAGATACACCATTTAATATTTACCACATCACTGGAATATGAGATTTAACATAAATCTGTAACAAATAGAAGTGAGTCTCTTTTCTCCTAAATTAAAATAATGCTTCTAAATTAGATATGGTTTCCTTCTAATAACTTTAAAACTATTGTTTCACTTATTTTAACAATTTCAGTTTGCACAGATGTCTAAACATATGTCATTCTTATTTAAAAACACTTGAAAGTTAAAAATAAGATAATACATTCAAAGCATTATTCCAGTTAAAGCTTAGTGCATTATAAATGTAAGAGTTTAAAATTTAAATGTTTTAAATGAAAAAATTGAACATTTGAAATTTTGTGTTGACACTTTTGTGATGTTTTGAATAAATCCATTTCAAATAAATTTCAGTTGTAGGTTTGTGGAGCTCAGCTTCTATAAATGGTTGTAAAAGTTTGAAAAAACTTTTTACCAAACAATTGCTTGTTAATAAATAAATCTTTGGTAATGAGTATTAGGTAATAGTAGCAATAAAGTAGAAGAGTAATACTTGGTTCCTTGCTGTCCTGAAAAGCTTATTTATGTTTAATAGCACATAACTTGTTTATAGGCAGTTACGTTATTCAGGGAAAATACTTTATAATAAATTAAACTTGAATTTTTAGGAAACCCTAATTCCCTATTTCATTAATTTAGTTTTTCTAGGTGTTTCATACATGTTTTACTATTGTAAGCCTACTTTAGATTCTTCCTTGGAAGTTATAAGGACATATCATATTGGGAGTATCATCTAATTAGCCATTTTGTAAATTATTCAGATCCTTTATTTCTCTTGGCAGTTTTCATGTTTTGGCTTTTTTCTACAATTTGAGCAGGACCAAAGTTAAAAAAAAATAGAAGCCAAAATCTATCCTTCCAGTTCTTTCTTTCTATCTATCTATCCATCCATCCATCCTTATGCTCACTCAACTCATATCTTTTTAATGTCTGTTTAGTAAATAAATGATGATTTTGAGTCTCTATTGTTGTTTTTACTGTAGTACAGCTGAATGGTTATATTAGAACTACTTCACTAGTGAGAAAAATACAACCACCAAGGTGCTAAAATGAAGAAATGCATTGCTTAAAAAAGGGGGAGGGGGCTCATTCAAAATAGCTCTCTGATGAGGGAGATGGGTTGGAGTCTGGATACTTGGAGCTGTCCTCTTCTAAAGCAGGTTAGTGACATGACATCATTCTCACAAAAAATTGTTTTGCTTATGTGGTGAAGGTTGGTGGTCTTGGTCCTTTTCATGAAAGAATCCATAATAAAATTAGATTTCTTGCTGGTCATTTTAGGCCAAAGGACTGAGGGTTCATTGGTAAAGAACCACTAACCTGTCCTCTCAGTGTGAACACTGAAAAGGATTAAGGCCCACTGTAGGGAAGCTTGTGCTGAAGCCCCACTGCCCTTTCCTCTGTTCTTTCAGCTAAATAGACTTTTAGTTCCCATGACTATCAGTCTGCTGCTTTTCACAAACACTAACTTCTTTTAAGAAAATTAAAATGACTTATTTTTGGAAGCTGGCACAGAAAGATGATGTTTTGTTGGTATTTTGTGTTGACAGATTGTTTTTTCCGATGCATATTAATTAGCTTTAATTGATCTTGAATGTGGAGGTAAATATAATCATTTAGAATTCAAGGACAGATTTTTTTATATCCTTAGGTTTGCTTGTCCAGTTAAATAACTATAGAGTTTGGCAGTGCTAAATCATACATTTCATTAGAAATAGCTATTTGACAACCCTGTGGACATAAACTCATTTTAACTTAAAAAATTTCTAGATGACTACAATTATAATGTGCTTTCTTTTCACTGACGTTTAAAAGCTTTGAAATCACTTGTATAAATGCTGAAGTGTCATATTTTTTCACTATCTGCCAAAACGGTATTGTATTTAATCTTGAAAATATATTTTGATTTTGTTAACTAAAAATAATTAGAGTATTAAACATTCTCAGTAGTTAAAGCTTTTTTTTCCATTTAATTTGAGCTTTTGTTGTTACTAACAAATAATTTGTGGCACAGTTTCTTTTCTTTCCTTTTTTTGTTTTTTTTTTTAATCACTGGTAGAATCTATATACTTGTCACCTTAGTGTGCTAGAAATGTTCCACTCAAATCATGGGTTCCTTTCTGGTTTTGTGTGTTCTCACCTGCTCCTCACTGTAAATCGTTGAGATGTCAAGTGCAGTGATTAATTAAGCTGCACGTGCAAGTGCCTTTTTTTTTTTTCACCTGTCAAGCAGGAAAGAAGTCTTATAGCAAGATTAGATGGTACTGATTCACAGCGTCTACTTCAGACTGTCAAGTGTGTAGAAATATTGTATATTTAGATACTCGGAATGTGGCATAGCAGGGTTTGTTTGGTTTAGAATTCTTTAATATTGTAAGATACCAAACCCCATCATTAAATTTCTAATTAGAAGCAAAGAGTAAATTCAGAATACCTTCTTAAGTATTTTGGAATTTTAGGTTCATACTTTGTAAATACCTTTTATTCAAATATTGGTAGTTGATTTAAGTTATTTAAAGTAAATATTTTTAAGTTTTTAAAGTTGATTTTGCAGGGGGTGCGGAGAAGGGGGAGAAATGACCCAAACATTGTATGCACATATGAATAAAAGAAATAAAAAAAATAAAGTTGATTTTGCATGTGTATGTGTACATGTATATATGTATCATGAGATCCATTCTCATTATAGTATAACACGGGTTTAAATTTCTGATGAACTGATGATGGTTAACAACATTTTTTTGAGTAATAAATATTTTCAAAATGTGTTAAGGTTTTGGGTCCTATTTTTATATAGCTTTAATATAAAACAGCAGACTTGGAAAGCTTGTTCTTTACTCTTTTATCCCCCTCACTCCCTTTTAAACACATCAGTAAAAGTAAAACCTCAAATTGTATAGTAATCTTAATCTATTATTAAAAGGTCCTAGAAAGGAAGATTACAAGGTAGATTCAGGTTTTGAATCGGTTTTACCATTGGTTTAGCAGCGGGTGGGCAGGCAGATGCCTGCTCATAGTAGAACCTATTGCCATTTTTCACCATTGATAGAGTAGCCTTTCAGAGTCAATGAGCTCTGTCAATGTGAGCTTGTCAAGGCTACAACTTCATAGACCTGAGAGGCGGTTTGAGAGGTCAGCCCTTTTCAGGTTCGCTGTGATGCAAATGAACTTTAATGCTTAAACAACTATTGGAATTTTTATGTCTGCTCCTTGTTCTTTTTTCTTCACAAAGTCATTGACGAGACATTCAGTGCTTTTTAAATTGGAAGTTGCATTGTGCTAAAGACCCAGTACAGATTTACGGAGGGCTGAAAGCAGTTAGATCATGTTCTTTTCATGGTGCGATTAGAATCAAATCGATTTCCCTACAGCCTTCAGCATTCAGATGGCAATTTTAACAAAGCTTGGGGGCTAGACAAGGGACAAAACGACTGAACTGAATGTTAATTACACTCTGCAGCCTTATTTTCTTTTGATTTGGGGCTGACTGGCAACTAAATTAACAAAAAGTGTGACCATAACTGCTGCCCTATTTTCATTTAAAAGGAGAGCTGCCTCTAAAAGGCTATCTTTACAAAGAAACAAGTGAGGTCTGCTGATCATTGTTAACAAGGGCACTTTTTTTTCCTTTAAAATTCTTGCCAAAAAGACTGTTGGTGGGGGGGAGTAATGTAATAAATTAGTCATTGGCGTATTATTGCTCAGAGTGATCGTTGATATTCTGATTTTTATGACATAAGCTTGGAAAATGTGAAGCACCTCTACTGGTAATTTGTTAATAGCTATGAGTTATAATTGGCACTCATATGACTTTGGTATGTTGTTAGCATGTTCAAAATGCTAAAAGGTAAATTGGAACTAGATTACAGTAGATCTTTAAATGTTAACATTTTGTTATGTAACATTAAACTTCAAAATCAGCTTTATCCTAATGCTTTATCACCTAGCTCATTCTTGCTTGACCTGCAGATTTTCATATCTGATTATAAGTACTCATTTACAGTTGTGTCATATTAATAACAGTAGATGCTTTTTCCCTGTCTCTCAAGAAAGTTGCAGCTGCTTCAAGTTGCACTTGATCCTTGTGGCATCACTGTCACTTTTGCACCTGCAACCATGTCAGTCTCATCCTAACACCTGGCATCATGAATTACCTTCTTTATTCATCTTCCCAAGCAACAAGGGATTTCATGCTGCATGGTCTATATTACAACAATCGAGTAAACTTGTTTTCTCAACTGGTCCCTGAGACAGTACCATTGGTTTAAGAATTGGTTTTACTAGCAGGTGCCCTTTTTTATGTTGGCTTAAATAAAATTTTGGCTCTGCTTGAAAATCTGTCTTGAATGATGAACTGGCTTTTAAATGTGGACATTATTTTTAAGTATCATGTTGAAGTTGGTTTGATTTTTATGCTCATTGGTGGTTTTTTTTTAATTAACTGAATTATTTTATTTTTGGATTTACCCTAATGATCATTTGTATGTTATCTAATTTTTTAATTATTTTTGCTTTAAAATATATATTAAAGATCTTTCATTATTATTTGAATATTGCAAAAATATTTTTAAGAAGTAAGATTTAAATTTATATAATTTGGTAAATGACATTTGCTTTTGAGGCTTTGATATTTTAAACCAGATGCTAGTCAGTTTGAAACAATTTTTTTTTAAAGATACATAAGCTTAAAAATAAACCCATATATTTTCTTAAGAAGTGTACTATTTCTGTTCAGGTTACTATTTAGTGCTAGAACATTGATAATGATACAGATTCAGTTACTTTCCTACACTTCTCTCCCCTTCTCACACAAAAAGCAGCTGCAAAACAAAGTTTTTCTAAAACCAGTCAAGAGTAAACTTTTTCCTCATTTGTCTTCCAGACACGAAGATCGATTGAGAAGTTATTAGAATGGGAAAACAATAGGTTATACCACAAGGTGAGTACCACAGGGAGCAGCTTCGTACTGTTGGGGTCTGAATTGCACAGTATGGAAACAGATGCTTTTGTTGAACTAAAAATATGAAAGGTGGACAAATGGGTTAGTCTGTGTGCTGCAGTAAAACAGAGCTCATTTTTCTTCTTTTACTCTCCTACTTGTCTAGCTGTGCTTGCACTGGAGACTGAGCAAAAGGAAATGTGAAACGAATAACATGATGGAATATGTAAGTTAAAGGGCTGTTTTGTGAGTTTCTCTATTAAATGATCATTTATTTTGCTTCTGATCTTATTCTTTCCGTGATTATTAATCAGCAAAGGTGTCAGGAGCTTAATCTCCTGAGTGCAAGGATTTTCTACGGTTCACAGATGCATGGGTTTCATGTGCAAGACTGATTTATAAAGTTATGAATGACTTGAAAACAAGGCTTCACTGTGTTCTGAAAAATAATAAATTAATTGCCAAGATAAAATAGCCTGAACATGTGTTGATGGAGTGTGAAATTTTAGATGCTGTATAAAGAATAACCACAACTTTGGTTACGCAGCAAGTCAGATATGGCTTTTTTATATAATGCTAATCGAGTTTCCAAGTATGGAAGAAAACCTTTCAGCCAAGCCATTGGAGCTTAAGAAACCTTTAGCCTTTATAGACTTTAACTGCCTGTATATCTCAGTGGCCTTTAGAGTATCCTTCAAAGTGTTATTAGAATATTGCTTTGTAAAATTATCTTTAAAAGTAAGCAGGAGAGGGGAGGCTAATTATTTGTGCTTATCCTGTAAAAGATAATTTTGCATACATACACAGTGATTTTAGAACTTTAATTTGCCCAACTCCCTGCTTTCCTTGAATAATTGTTCTTGTTTGGAATACTATAGGAAATTACGAATTTTCATTAATTCTCCCTTGAGCTTGAGTATTTTATTTTAAATATAGAAAGGTTATTAGATTAAAAAGAAAAATGCCTAAAGAAGAGTTAATTGTTGGAAATTAAAACCACAGCCTTTGTGAAGTACCTAATATAACATTTCTGATGAATTTTATCTATTCTTTGAAACAATGTAATCAACTTAGATTGTATGTGTATATGTGTATAAAAGATTGATTAAAAGAGTGTTTAAATAGTTGGAAATTATCATAAAATCATTTTCTCTGTTAGCACTTTCTGGTTCTTTAATTATCATACAGCCAAATTCCATTTCTAGCCTTGAGCATAAAAGATACTCTTTTAAAGTGTGTCTTTTTTTCATGAACTAGCTCTATTCAGTGAACTGAATAATGTAGATTTTTGTCTTTACCCATTATATCAAACATGTTAATTTATGATGATTAGAAAGACACTTCATAATTCTTTACAGTCACAAAAACACATTTGAGTAATATGTTTTGAGGTTGATCTGTAAAAATACTAGTCTTGTATTTTCATCATAGATAGTAAGAAGTTTAGGTGTGTATTTTGGAGGGACGGATAGATATTTAGGAAATTTAAAGGGTTTATGAAAAAATACTTGGTACATTATAAGCCCAACTACTAAGCTTCAAATTGAAGCTTTAATTACTTTTTTGCACGTTTCTAAATGACACTTTGGAAAGGAAAACATAAAAGTTATTCCTGAGCTGGGGTTGTAGCTCAGTGGTAGAGAGTGCTTGCTATCATGTGCAGTGACTTAGAGTTGGAGCTTTAGCACCTCAAAAAAAAAGTTATTCCCCAAAATTAGAGATAAGGGTAAAATAGTTTCTGCCGGGTATTGAGGGGGTGGGGGGGTGGAGTGGGTGGTAAGGGAGGGGGTGGGGGCATGAGGGAGAAATGACCCAAGCCTTGTATGCACATATGAATAATAAAACAATAAAAAAAAAAAGTTATTCCCAACGCTGTAATTTCCAAGAAGGGCTAGATGAATAGCATTCATTCATAAAGTATGCTTATTATTTTATGACATTGTTTTTAACTAAAAATAAAATAATTTAGTTACCTTCTTTATAAAATAATTTCAATTTATAGAAATTTCATTTGTTAAAGGAAAATATTTCTCCTTGTTTGTATTTTGAATATTAGCGCTAATCTATAAAAATACCAATTCAAAACTAACTTTTCTTGATTCAGTTATGATAGAAAGGTATGATTTAGAAGAAAGAAGACAAGTGGCCGATTTCTGTGTGTGACTTATGAGGGAAGAGAGTTTGTAGAATAATGTTCTTTAAAACTAATAAGACAAATATAGTCAGAAAGATAGCTTCTAATTTATATTATGTAGTATACAACTGTAAAATGTGATGTCACACCCAGAGACTGAAAATTTTAAGATCACTTGATGGAGGACATGTTTGAAATACAGAAGTATTTATTGAATGTGAACTTACAAGTAACTTAAATTTTGAATCATTAAATTTTAGACCTGCAAAGAACCTTTCCATCCAGTCTGGGCCCTTTCTTTTATGGGTGAAGAACCCGAGCAACAGGGAAATGTGGCTCAAATGAAGAAGCTAGGTGCAGAGAGTATTTTAATAGGAAGCTAATTGAAAGTTTTGTAGGTAAATAACAAGTGAGGAGAGTGGCAAAGGTGGCACACATAGGCTTAGGGCAGGATAACTAGAGTAGGGCGGTAATATTTTTGAGCCAGGCATAGAAGTACTTTCTTGGGTTTTTTTTTTTTCCCCAACTCAGGACTTTGTGCTTGTTAGGCAGGCACTCTACCACTGGAGGCACTACTAGAAGTAGTACCTGTTTATTGAGGCAGATCAAAAAGCCAATAGAAAGAACTCAGGAGTGAAAATGAAAGTTATTGGCCCAAATGGCTAACTCATACATGTGTACAAATCTGGAGGTCATATCAAAACACAGTTTCTCATACAAACAATAAAAAGTTCACCAAATTTGGAAATTATTCAAATCAGGTCATTTTTCAATCTGTATGTATTCCATACAGAATTGGAGCAAGAGAAAGAGTTAATTGTAATTTAAGACAGTTGAAGTTCAGAATAATACATCTTTTTTTTTTTTTTTTTTGGCAGTACTGGGGTTTGAGCTCAGTACCTTGCACTTGCTAGGTGCTCTACCTCTTGAGCCACTCACCAGCCCTCAAGTTCAGAATAAAAATGCACTCTAGTCCAGTTGTGTAATTTGTTTATTTTCCTATTAAAAAAAGAAAAAGACTTTTATCTAAGAAAGCCAGGCATGGGGATGCATAACTGGAATCCCACCACTATAGGGCAAGACTGAAGCAGGAGTATTGGGAGTTTAAGGCCAGTCTGGGTTATATAAGGAGACCCTGTCTCAGAAAATTATTATAGAGAGACACAGAGAGACAGACATAGGCAGACTGATTCCACACCCTAGAGAGATCACTTGTCATGTCATGTCATGTCCTAGTAGGTAAAATGGGAGCAGCTCTAGAACTCTTAGAGAAGACCCTTGGAATTGGGTTGATGAAAGGGAGGAAGCATGAAGAATTGTATTTGGTCTGCTAACAGTCATTTAACAGGAATTAGGCAAGGCTTGGGAGTTAAGATAGTCTTTTAGTCAAATCCATGATGTTACAACTTCTGGGATCATTAATTTTCATCTATAGAATGAGGATGATAATTGTTGAGATTAGATAGACCCATAGACTATGAAACACCTGGTATGCAGTTAGTTTTCTGTAAATGTTAGCCTCTTTTCTCATTCATTCAGGCATGCACACGTCTATGTGCTCCTCTAGTGTCAAGGGGCATTAATTTACATACCCTGCACTTCTCAGGCTTTGGTTATTTACTTACTTGTCTTCATAAAGCTGAGGAAATTTTCATATTTGGAAAAGGTCCAGAAATAAAAAGAAAAATTCTCATGAAGTTTTAAGCTATCACAGACATGTCTGTTTAAAAATGCAAAACTTTGTAGTTTTAAAATGTGAATGATTTTCAAACAAAATGTACATGATAGATTGCAACAAGTTTTAAGATAAAAATTTGTTTAAATCTTTTTCTTCTCCTTTTACAGGTCATCCTCATAGAATTTTTACCAAAGACACCAATTTTTCGACCCGATTAGCATTTACCTTGTTTATAGAGACTTTCCAAGTATGTTGTCTTTCCAATGGTGCCTTGCTTGGTGCTCTCCTGGTGGTGACATGACATTGGTTCTACAGAATCGTGTGGTGGTTTTGTTTTGTTTTGTTTTGTTTTGTTTTAATAACCGCATGTTCTGTGTGTGCATATTTGTCAGACTCTGCAAGTTATTTCATACAGATGTTTAATACCTAAGTTATTGTGCTCTCTTCTGTTATGTATTCTGATTTTCAAGGATTTCTTTTTTGTATTCTCAAAAAAATACATTTGAACTTAGCATAAAAAGTGGCCAGCCTTTTTTATTTTATCACCAAGTTACACACAGTCCTTTATTTATAAATTCCTTAACATAGAACAATACCTTTGTAAGGCTCTCCTTATCTATTCTAGCAAGTACACTATACTTGTATTAAATTTTCTTCCCTTTGAAATTTAACATGGTAATTATTTTAAAAGAAGTTTTCTTCAGTAGCCTTTCGAACCTCATATGCCCTTGAACTCACACAGTTCCTAATGCTCTGTTTACAGCAGATTCATCTGTTAACATTGTGACAACTTCTCGAAAAGTTTTGAAAATATTACTGTCTTCAAAGGTAGTAAGGCAGGATTAAATTATTTTTATTAGAACAGACAAATCAATGAATGGTATGCATGTATCTAATGGTTATTAGACTCAGGATCACAGAATATAGAAGCATCAGTCTGTATATTTTTTATCAAGATGATATTAATAATGGCCTTACATGGGTTATTTTTATTGTTCATCAAGTCTTATATGCAAAAGTATGGAAGTACTCCTTTTAAGAATTTCTATGTAAAATATTTCTCCCAATCTGACATAACCGTAGAATGAATATATGTTTTTGAAGAGTTTTGGAAGAAAAGAAACCAAAAGTTCTAGAACTAAAAGTAAGCTGGTGTTCAGTGCTGCATTGCTATTAAGAGCACATTATTACTGAGAAGTGGAGGACATATTTACAACTATTTTATCCACCCAGAGAATTCACTTTCAATCTAGTTACATATACTTTTTTGATTGAAAGTATGACATAGATTTCAATCAGTTTAGCCTGTTGCTTTAAAATACATATACATATATATTCTTTTCTCTTTTTGGTTGTACATATCTCTGTGCATTTAAATTTTTTAGATTTCTCAATGGCCTATATGTAAATTTTCATTTTTATAAGCCTAAAATTATACACGTCTTAATGTGTGTCAAGAATTTGTTCCATATAACTGTGGTATCGAGCAATAATGTGAATAACTTTTGAACTTATATAAATTGTATTTAAAAATTTGTATTAAGAATTGGTACCACTATCTCTTTTTTCTCCTTGTATTAAATCTTTTAAATACCACTTTCATTAATTTATATACCTGTATTTTTTTTTAAAAAACTTCTCCGAAGTACTGTAATCCTATATAAATTTGAATAGTTAAATGGCAGTATCTGAAATCCTATATTGGACATTAGGGACTATTTTAAAAACTAGGATTTAAAACTTTTTTTTTGTCCTAGAATTACTGGTTTCCAGTGCCCCCCCACGCCCCCAACAACACCTTGAATTTATAGAACACTTTACTTGTGAAGAGTTCAAAGTACAAAGAACTGAAATATTTCTCACTTACCTTTGTCTAGATGTGTCCTGCCACCTGAAGTAGTTCAATTAAAAGTAATGCTATTCAAAAACTCTAGTATTCCTCTGTGGTTTCAATGTGAAAAATGTTGTATGACCATATAATGTTAAATCAGCTTCAGGATACAGAAAGAGCAGAAAACTACAGCAACTGTATAGACTATGCAACACAGTGCTCCTGGTATAAAATTGTGTAAATCCATAGAGTGCTGTAGAGATTAACTTTATAAGAAAAACTTACCTAATTAGACATGATTTTTCTCCTATTGTTAGTCTTTTGTCACTTGTAATTTTCAAAATTATTATATTGCTGTAAGAATATTTTAACATAATTTTCATAGTTGATACTAAGTATAAGATTTTAAAAAGCTTTTCTAATTTTACTGGGAAGTTTGCCAGTTACTTAAAAATTTTCTAGAACTGTCCATTCTCATACTTCCAGCGTCTACATGGAAAAGAGCCATGATGCATGGCATTCTCATGAGACAGTTATGCCTTGGGCAGTTAGAATTTCATCCTTGGGTTTTCCTTAGTAGCCTCCAGTATATTACCATTTCTTGAATTATTAGTTTAAGTGCCATGTTGCTAGAAATTAGAAATGTCAGAGGCCCATGTTACATGAACATCAGTCAGGAAATATTTAAAATAATGATTATCCCTCAGCTCCTGTTTCATAATAGAAAGTTTGTGGGACATGAACCATTAGGTGCTTTTTTTTTTTTTAAAGAATATATTATTGGCAGAATAGCCAAGGTATAGATTTTATATAGGCTAGGTGAATAACTTATGATCTTAAATACATTACTGGCATTTTATAGGCAGTCACTAATCCTGTATAGAAAGTCGTTTCTCAAATAACCCTACCATATTTTAATGCATAGCTTTTTGAATATTGAGTTAAAATAGATACTCCAAATCCTAATAATGACTATAGTAAAAATGATATGATATTTTTAGATTTGAGGTAGATAATTGCCTTCCTCTGAAGAAGATCACCTTACTATCGTGAATAATGTCTTATTAAGGCTCTTTAATGAGTAGATTTCAGTCATTTCATTTATAAAACATGCAATTTTGGCTTTAAATCTACAAAATAATTTACACAAAACATTGAATAATAGGAAACAATGATTCCCTGTTCTTACGATCGTAGTACTAAATCAAATGTTAATGTATTTAAAATTGTCTCCCTACTGCAGCAAACCTAATCCTGTACTCTCTCCTTCTACCCTTCTAAAGCACCATAGATTATTTTGTTACCCTCTTTGTCCTGTATGTGTGTTGGGAGGTGCTGAGAATTTAACTGAGGGCCTGGGGATTGATGGGCAAGAGCTTCTGATTGTTTCTTGAATTAGTAGACATAGGCTAGCCATGTAAGACCTTCGACACTATTCCATTTCAAATAATTTATATATTAAATAGTAATATGTTACAGTTGGACCTACAGTTGCATGAGTTCACATTCATACTACTTTTATATAACATTATATACTTAGACCAATCCAACTTTCATGGACTTGGGGTGGCCAAGTACCCTTTAGCTGCATGCCTGATGTTTCATTGTGAATAATTCATTTCACTATGAATATTTGTTGATCAGTAGTACTAAATCAAATGTTAAATGTATTTAAAATTGTCTCCCTACTGCAGCACCTAATCCTGTACTCTCTCCTTCTACCCTTCTAAAGCACCATAGATTATTTTGTTACCCTCTTTGTCTGTATGTGTGTTGGGAGGTGCTGAGAATTTAACTGAGGGCCTGGGGATTGATGGGCAAGTGCTCTGCCACTAAGGTACATACCTAGCCCTGCTGCCCTCTTGATTGTCCACAGTCCTCACCTAGGCCTGGACAGAATTGCCTTTTTTGTCTCCTTTCCTCAAAGCGCTTAGTAAGAATGTCATTCTTTTTTTGCTTTTTCTGTTTTGTTTTTTTGACAGGGTCTCACTATGTAGTCTAGGCTGGCCTCAAATTCTCTTCAGCCTCCTGACTTAGTCAAGCAAGTACTGAGATTGCAGGCAGGTACCATAATCTCAGGCCTGTTTTTGCATTCTTAACTAGGTGTTTAGAAGATTGACTAAAGTGAGTCACATTAAGTTATATATCCTATTGAGATTGGGAGGACTGTGGTTCAAGGCCAACCTGGGCAAAAAGTTCCCCAGACCCATCTCAACCAATACTTCGGTAGTGGTACACACCTTTGTCATCCCAGCTACATCAGGAAGCTTAAAACAGAAGGATCATGGCCCAGGTTGACCTGGCAAAAAGTGAATCCTTATCTCCAAAATAACCAGAACAAAAAAGGCTGGAGGTGTGGCCCAAGTGGTAGAGTGCTTCTAAGTGCCAAACCCTGAATTAAAGTACTGAGTCCAGTATTGCCCCAAAATAAAAATGTTATGAATGGCTGCCACCCAGTTCTGAGAAGGCTGTACCTTTTTTTGGGGTGGGGGGGATACATAGGTGGGACTGGGGTTTGAGCTGTGCAGGGGCTTTACTCTTGCAAAGCAGGTACTTTACTACTTGAATCACATCTCCAGTCCGTTTTGCTCAGGTTATTTTGGAGATGAGGTCTCGCAAACTATTTGACCAGGCTAGCATCAAACCAAGGTCTTCCAGATCTCAGCCTCCCTAGTAGCTAGGATTGCAGGTGTGAGCCACTGACACGTGGCTTAAAAAGGAGCTTTGTACAGTTGGGGTTTTCCTTCTTAATGGATCCTAGACTAACTGGGTAGACTTTCCATAGTCTACAGAGATAATAGGGAGTAACAGGATAGTTGGTCCTGGGACTGCTTCTCAAACACCCTTTTTTGAAGTAAGCTTATTTATATCTAACTTTTGGAAGGAATAGGCAAATTCTAAGCCAGAATATTAATTATTCCACAGAAGTTTGTGTTTAAATACTTAATCCTTTCAAAAATAAACACTTTTTCATTGATCAGTGTTTTTTTTTTAAACCTTTTATAGAAGTTGAGATTTGAAGTATGTCTTTAATTCCTGAGTTACCTTGTTCTGCACATTGACAAAGATTTGTAGATAGCAATTTAAGCAAAGCCTACATATTGTTTATAGTACTATCCATAATTCTGTATACTTGTTCCTGGAATAGGGGTCAGTATTTTTGCTCCCAAATGGCAAATTGAACCAACAAAGTATTCAGTATTATCTTAATGATACTGAGCACAGAAATTCAGGATGCTAATCTTGGTTTGTAATTCGCTTTTGGTTTTCTACAAAATCATCAAATTAGTTGACTTCTTTGCTATTATTTTTATTTACAAAGCAGAAGATGCTGTGACTACCTCATGATGTTATCATGTTTCAGTCATTTATTTTTATATTGTTTATTAATGCTAGATGTTTAATAGTAATGTTTGAGTAGCTTTTTAAACTTATTTACAATGTAAGCATAAATGTGAGTTACATCAAATTTTGCATTTAAAATGAAAGACTGGCTACTCCATATGTACTTACAATGTTTTGTGTGTTTAAAAATCAGGGAAATACTAAATATATGTGAGAAAATTCCTTTCTAAAGACACTTTAAAATATATTCCTGTCTGAGATACTTTTGCAGAATTATGCTTTTTTTCTTATATTCTGTGTACTTTATAATTTGGAAGGCGATTTCTTTTTTTGCTTATGAAAAATAGTATATTGCTTTCCTAGCTCTTCATCTCAGAAATAGTTAAGTAAACTGACTACACCAGGCACTTTTTTTATTTTTGCCAAATTTTTTAGTTTTTGTTTGTGTATTGCTTTGTTGCTTTTTGAAGAAATACAGTATCAGCCAGCCTTCAAGAGAAGATAAATGGTGATTCATGTCTGTAATCCTAGCACTCAGAAAGCCAAAGCAGAAAGATTGTGAATTCAAGGCTAGCCTGGGCTATATAACAAGACCCTGTCTCCAGGAACCAAGTAAAAACAATGCCAACAAAAGAAAAGATAAGTGTTAGATCTGTTACCTGTCGGTGCTCCTGTTCTGAGAAATAACATACCTTCACACTGAGGTTTCTTTCCTATCATCTGTTTCCTCCTTCTAAATTTAGTAATACTAGTTCAAGTTCTTTCTCTTGACATAAATACTAAATAAATTTAAATTCTAGATGGAAATAATCTTCTATTCCTTCAAAGAACCTATTGCACAAAATTTAGGACCTCATTTTTCTCTAGTAGCAGTTTATTTAATTAGGTGATTACTTAATCATCATTGCTATGAAGTCTTCATAAGTAAGAATTTGACTTCACTCAAGTTATCAAAAGCCCTTTTAAATCTATTTCTTTTTGCATTTTTTGAAGATGTAAGTGTCATGCTTCTCAGAAGACTGAAGTATTGGGAAACTTAGCAGCAGTGGTAGAAGCAAGGTAGACATGATTGGAAGGCAATCAGATGCTAATGTCTCCAGGCTGAGAGAAATGATTGCATT